CCCGAAGGCCCAGGGAACATGGCAGGGAAGGAGGCAGAACGGCTGTAAGAGCCAGAGAATCAGGGAGTTTGCTGTGAGATTGTGTCTCCCAGTAATATCAGAAGCTACACATAAAGTCTCACCTACATGACTGCCCAAACGTGAGCTGAACAAAGACACCATCAATAGACATGCCAAAGTAGATGGCGGAAAACCCACAAGGCCTCAACCCTACATGAAGACCTACAGGCAACGATGGAGCGCTGAGAGCAGAACAGATATTCACAGGAAGAGCACAGTAATTAGTTATCCCATGCTAAATAACCAGTTCCGGAAGCACTCGCTGAGTAACATACAGACTGAGCAGGTTACAGTTGGGAAAATGTATGCGTGCACTTACACATGCTTGCGTGCGTTAACAAGTAATGAAAAAGAGGCCATGAATTTGAAAGAGAGCAAGGGGGGGTTCTGGAGGGTTTGGAGGGGGCGAAGGTGAGGAAGAAATGTTGCAATTATATTAAAAGATCAAAAATAAAAAATAGAGGAGACAACCAGAGTCGACCTCTGGTCCTCCACCGTGAACCACCAACACAGGCATACACCGCCTATAAACAAACATTTTAGAAACAAAAACAGAGTAGATTTCTCTCTTTGGGAATATGGTTACTAATGTAAGTTAACAGTGACCTTACTGGTTCATAATAAAGATTTCCATTGTATGGCTTTTCTCGTATGCATTGCATCTTTTCACTTTTGTGGGAAGACCATCCATGAGAATTATAGACGTCTGTGTCTTTTTCCTTGACGAAAGCCTGCTCTGCTTCTGCTGACATATGGTAATGAATACAGATACTTTCTGCACTTTAAGCAGAGCAATGCCTGCCCTCTCCCAGGGAGTTTTGTCTTTTCAATGTGAGCTCCGAATCTGACACCAGTGTTGGTATGTTCAGCATTTCTCTCCCGGCCCTGATCCTGTTTCTCTTGAGCATAACGTCTTGAAAGTGTCTTCACTTTTTCCTCTCCTCTTTGGTCTGATTCTGCTGGTAGGTGGGGAGATTTTTTTTTTTTTTTTTTTTTTTTTTTTTTTTTTTTTTTTAGTCAACGTTGTCAGATTTTTCATGGCTAAAATGTTTTTCCAAATACATTCATATGTGATTGTCTCTCCTCCAACGTATTATTTTCATAAATCCTTTTTTTGTATGTTGTGGTTTATGGGATCATTTGGGAAAGTCATAAGAAATCAGAAACAAGAACAACCAATGCCTGGGCTTTAAAAGCTAAAGTTGGGTTTCATATTATTTTTCATATTTATCAAATGTCACCAAAAAAAAAAAATTCAAATCCTTTCACCTAACACCTGCCATCTTTTGAAGTTAATTTGTGGTTACTGACTAAGTTCACCCAATTTGATAAGGTCGTATAGATCAGGGATTTCCTGTCTCAACTATTACTGGTAAAATTATCTTGACTAATAGAATTAGAGAGATGATTGTGATTGCATTCTTGTTCCAGTTTTCTTTCTGTTGTTGTCACTAAGGTATATATCCCAACAAAAGAAACTTTAAGAGAGAGGCAGTTTCCTTGGCTCATGGTTCCAGGCCACAGCCCGTCACTGCAGGGAAGTCACAGTGGAGGAACTTGACATAGCCGGTTACTTCCACAACCAAGAGCAGAGAGTAGCGAACACGTGCCTGAGGCCAACCCACTCACGGTTTCCACGCTCATACAATTCAGACCCAAACACAAAGTGCTGTGTTGCCCAATTTCAGCCTGAGTCTTTCCAGTAAGTATAGTTAAGACAGTCTTCCATAGACACGCCCATGGGCTAACCTGATCTAGACAGTCCTCCTCAGACATGCCCATGGACTAACCTGATCTAGACAGTCCTCCTCAGACATGCCCATGGGCTAACCTGATCTAGACAGTCCTCCATAGACACACCCATGGGCTAACCTAGTCTTCCACAGACATGCCCATGGGCTAACCTGTTCTAGACAGTCTTCCACAGACACACCCATGGGCTAACCTGATCTAGACACTCCTCCTCAGACACGCCCATGGGCTAACCTGATCTAGACAGTCCTCATACATGCCTATGGGCTAACCTGAAGGAGACAGTCCCGCATGGAGACTCCCTTCCTGGGTGACTCTATACTGTGTCGATGGTTAAAATTAAGCATCACCAGGCCTAACTACAAATAATCTACCTTCCATGATAAAATATAAAATATATAAATTATTTTTTGTTTACTGGGGGAGGGAAGGGAGTAAGGGAAGGGAAGAGAAACAGGGAGCGGGGGAAATATATAAATAAATTGTTGTTGGTTGTTTTTACTCTTTGCTCTTTGGGACCTGCCACCCAGCTGCCAAATAAATACTTACGGAGACTTACGATTGCTTACAAATGCCCAGCCTTAGCTTGGATTGTTGTTAGCTAGGTTTCCTGAACTTAGATTACCATTTTGCCTCTGGGCTTTTGCCTTCCTCTATTTCTGTTTATCTTTTCCTTCCTTTTTAGTCTGTGTCTGGCTGTGCAGCTGGGTGGCTGGCCCTTTCTCTTCTCAAATTCCTTCATCTTCTCCTCCCAGACTTCCCCTTCTCTTTATCCTCTCTGCCTGCCAGCCCCACCTATCCTTTGGACTCCTGACTCGCTATTGGCCATTCGGCTCTTTATTAGACCAATCAGGTGTCTTAGACCGGCAAAGAAACACAGCTTCACAAAGTTAAACAAATGTAACAATAGATAAATACGTTTTTAAAGAAAAAAAATAGTATGTATCGTACTGGTGTGAGCCTTTAGAACACAGTTCTGAACTGAGGCCTTCTGATAGGTGGGGTGGATAAATCTTCACTTTCAGGTCTACCCTCTGCCTGCAGGACTGCAATCCTTTTGCTTCCTAGGTGCCTCTAAAGCCCACGACCACATTTAGAACAACCAAAACTGTCTTTGGGCATAATTACTAAAGGTCTCCTGAGAGGAAAAAATCACCCCAGCTTGGAAACACTCCTCGCCCTACCGAGGAAGAGTAGCAGAAGTGACATTTGATTTGCTCTAACAGAAGATAGAACTGGCATAGACCGGATGGATATAGGAGATGGAGGAGGACAATCAGGAAACTAACTAAACAACGTAGGAAGTGTGAACAAAGAATGGAAAAGGTGGCGCTAGAGGGGGTGGCTCCACAGCTAAGAGAACTTGTTGCTTTTGTGGTCAACCCTGGTTCAAGTACCAGCAACCACATGGTGGCTTACAACCGCCGTAGACAACCGCCATAGCTCCAGTTCCAGGGGATCACATGCCCTTTTGACAAGGGCACCAGGCAGGCATGTACTGCGTGGGCATACCTGCAACCAAGACATTTATTTCTTTATTTATTTATTTATTTATTTATTTATTTATTTATTACGTATACACTGCTCTGTCTGCATATAACCCTTTAGGGCAGCAGAGGGCACCAGATCTCCTTACAGATGGTTGTGACCCACCATGTGGTTTCTGGGAATTGAACTCAGGACCTCTGGAAGAACAGCCAGTGCTCTTAACCTCTGAGCCATCTCTCCAGGCCTGCAACCAAGACACTTACAAACATAAAATAAATTAAAATTTTTAAAAGAATAGCAAAGTAAAGTAAGTTTCTCTTTATGCCTGTACTGCAGCTTCCACCTAAAGAATTAGGGAGGAAAGTAAATGAAAGTCCTAATTACGGGGAATGATAAAAATAGAAACCCCAATCTATCCAGATGGCTTACTTGTATCTTAAAATCTCAGATCTACTAAAAGCCAAAAATTAACCTTCCTCCCATCGAATTCAACTTTGCTATGCACCGTGTACAAATAGTCTCAATATAATTGATATATTACTATCATTCCCAAGAGATTTCCAGAAGGCAACGGTAAAATTGTAAAACAACTGTTGGGAGCAACTCCATCACCACACATCAAGAAAACAAACAAAATAAAGTACAGCCTCACATTAATGCCAGGATCCTTTGATATGTGTGTGAACAGCAACTAGCATCTCTTAAACCTACTTTCCAGGGTACTATGCTGTGTTTCACATGGAATATGTTGCATAAATACAGGAATACCCCATATCTAGAAGGTTAAATAACATTCCAGGGGTCACATAATTGGCAGTTGGCAGAGCAGCATTCTAGTCCTAGCAACCTGACAGAGTGGGGGCTTTGGTCCAGGAGATGTCCCTAAAGCCATGTGACATGAGGTTATGCAAATAAACTCTTCAAGCCTCGGTTTCATGGTCTTTAAAGGGAAGATTCTACCACCTGCCCCACAGAACTACGTATGCATGTCTTAAAAGTCTTAGAACAGGGCTTGTCACCTGGTAAGTGCTCAAAACGTTAGCCCTTGCCTTTGTAACCACTACAGCCCACACTCAAGAGGAAACATCAAGTTTCACACTAGCCTG